CAGAGACTGTTCATAAATAAGCTTTATAAAATAGCAGGAGCTTCATAAAAAGTTTATTTCCTCATTAAATTGGGGTTTAGCAAAAGCACTGATCATCAAGCACCAATATGCAGACAGAGCCATTTCTGATAGTAAGATCAGAAAACCAATGTGAAATAGAAATGATTTAAGAGGATAGCTGTACATCATGTTGCTGAACTGGAGAACCAGGCTCACAAGTAGTCTATTTGCTTGTGCTTCACAAAATTCAGCTGCCCTTGCAAAGCAAGATGCCTCACTGGTACAGAATGAGGACTGGTTGTGATGGCAGGAGTTTCTGACGTTCTTGAAACCAGCAAAAGAGCAGCACCAGTGCAGAGGCATTATATGAAACGTGAAACTGAAAGTAAGGTTGCAAGCTTTTTGTGAAGTCAGCAGGTGTGTTCCCGGTGACATTTGTCAACCGTTCTAATGATGTAGATTATTTCCTGGAGCATTAAAATCACTACTCTGATTTTTAAAGGAGTTGGTGGTCTGTTTAAGAGAAAGGGGGAAAAAAAATCAGTACTGTAAAGCTCTTAATAAGTGCAGCTGTTTCAGAAATTACGCCTTTCAAACTATTGGCAGCTATTCTCTCTATGCAGGCTGCTATTTAGAATTGATAATCATCTACAATCACTCTTTTGTGTAACAAGTCTTGAGAATATGTGCAGAGAAGATGCATGCACCTATTGTTTTGCAAATATGTAGTCATTGTGTGTTTTAGGTAGTCTAATCATTCACTTGAAAGTTTTAAAGAAAAAGGAGGGTGTTCCATTGGTATTTCTAAATGATAAAGCTTGGTATTATCAAGCAGAAACTCATACCAGCCCCTAATAATTGCCAACTGTGTTAAATGGTCTTTCTCTTCCTACCTTTTCAGCATTAACAATAAACTGCAACAGCCAGAAGCAGCTGCTGGGGTACTGGAATATGCCATGAAGCACTTTGGGGAGCTGGTGAGTCCTGCTGGATAAGTCTCTTCTTCATGTCTTATGTTTTCATGGCTTTTGTAGGGTGGGTTTGTGTGTGTGTGTGTGGTGGTGTGTTTTTTTTCAATCACGTTGAGGCTCTATCCCCGCTTATAATATTGCCTCGTTCATACTGAAGGTGCCTTACTGCCTATGGGGATATATACTGTGTACTTAGCTGTATACTAGCAAACACTGCGTACAGGTTAGATAGCTGGGGAAGACTGCAAGAACTTGTGCAAGAACGTGATTTGGAGGAGAATTTAGCAGCTATCGTTGGCACTAAATGCAGCTGTGGGGAACTAGCAACTTGACAAAATAAGTCATTTTATTTACAAGAAGCTGGGAAGGGAGGGATTAAGTTCCTGTTCTAAGCTTTAAATGCTTGAGGGTTTTTGGGAAACTGCATCAATGCCTTCCAGGTAAGGATTTAATGGAAGTTGTGCCTCTAGCGTCTCTCATCCAGGAGGCACGTGAACCTGTCACAGAGTTCACAGATATTATTTAGAGTAGCAGATTAGCCAGTCCCTTACAATTTTGACTGCTCACAGAAATAAAATAACCCCATTCTCTATTTGTTCTGTGTCTTTTTCTGCACGACTTACCTTTTTTTCTTTCTCCTTTTTTATAAGCATTTAATTTGTGTTCAGGGACTAAAGCATCTATGCTTTCCTGCTAATTCTACTCTGTTAAAAAGATGATTTTGCAGTGATAATTCTTGCAGTGGCTTAGGGTGATTGGGAAAAGGAAGACAGCCCTGGAAGCACAGTAGACTAGCCTATTTCATTAGGAGCCACTAGAAAGTGGCAACAGGTATAAGCACAAAATGGTGGAATTCTTCTGGTGTAGGATTATGTGTGGTTTTGACCTAGACTGGAAAAGAAGTCCTTTCTGGGAGAAGTAAGGACTTTAGAACATCTTTGCAGCTTCTTATGATTCCTTGGGTGGATTGAGCAAAGCTCTATGTTAACCTAATTCTGACCTCACTCTTTAGCAGTAATGTAGTTCTAGCACTAAATGTAGTTCAAAACACAGGGTTTGCCAGAATAGGCAGTGAATAGAAATTAAAAGGAGCTGTGAGCTCTACTTTCAGGAACTTACTTGAAATATTATGACTGAGCTCAGAAGTTAAAGGGTTGGTATATAAACATCCGAAGTGAAACACCTGGCATGCAGAGTGTGGTTTATACTGACCCTGCCCACAGGGCTGGGAAAAGAATCTATTTTGCAGCCTTATGTCAAGACATAAGCTGCCAAGGACTGAGCAGAAAAACATTGGCAGAGATGAGTATGGAAAAATATTAGGGCATTTTATTTCTTGAAAATTAGAAACAAAATCTAGAAACAAAGACTGAAGAAAAGTTTGTGCAGCTGATAGGGATCACTGCTTGGCTTACTTTTAAAGTCTTTGTTACAAACCACAGCCTTTCCTTGTGAGGGCTATGATTAGACCCCAACATCATACTACCTGCTGTATTAAAAAATGGCCTAGCAGTAGCCAGACGCACAGTGTGCTTTTTGGGTTTGGGTTTTTTTTTTTTCCAGTTAGTCACTCCATTCCTGAACACAGGACTGCTGTTCTTATTTAAATGCAATCATGTGCAACAATGGGAAGTGGAATATTTTATAGGTTTACCCTTTTTCCTGTTCCACTCACTCCCCCTCTCCAAAAAGAAAAGCACCAGCTAGTATTTCAGTGGCACTGAACAGGGGGATGATGTTGGATTGATCCCTCTGGTAAACCTGAATTCATTTCTGTGCAGGTTAAGCAATACTGAGGATTCCTGTTTTCACGCTAGCTCAAGGCTTTTCTCTGTATTGTAGAAGTCCATGAGGATATTTAGAATGAAAAAAGGGCTAAGTGACCACCATAGACACAGAATTTTTCAGAAAAAGCTGTGGTAGTTAATATAGAATGGTGCATATTAATCCTCCTATTTATTCTGATTTCCCCCCCGCCCCACCCCTTAGGAAATTCAAGCTACCTGGTATGAAAAGCTTCATGAATGGGAAGATGCTCTGGTGGCCTATGACAAGAAGATGGATACCAACAAAGATGATCCTGAGCTGATGCTAGGACGGATGCGTTGCTTGGAAGCACTTGGTGAATGGTAAGAGGGGAATGTCTGAAGACTGAGGAAAATGGCACCTTTAAAAATGGTGCGTAACTCTTCTCTGGATGCTATCATCCAGGTGAAAGTTTTCTGCCTGAATTCCTATTTAGTCTTGCTTACTTAATAGTTTAAGTATTTCCAGTGACTTCTCACTTTGTTCATTGAAGTCAGAATTGGTAATAACATCTCTAAGCCTTTTGGGATGGGCCATCTGATAAGTTAAGGTCTCTCTGAAAGAGAATCTGCAATCTTATGATCAGATCAATCCCATTTGTAACGGAGAAAGAAATTGTAAATAGAGGGGACCTCTCAGGAAACACTAACTGGGCAGTATTTGTCAAAAACAATTATAAAAGGAGATGGTTGTAGCCCTCCTTTTTAAACTCTGATTAAAACATGAGATTTCTGTATTTATTCATGGTCAGACCTATGCCTATCCAGAAAGCATGGTCTTTTGCACAACTGTTAGTGAAATTGTCTGCTTCCTAATAGTCACCTGGGTGTAAGATTATGCCAAATAAATTACTCTCACTTTAAAACCCTTTTGCCCATCTTGTAGATGGCTGAGTTTTTCATTATTACTCTTTTTTAGCATTCATTAAGCATTGTCTTTGTGGACATTTGGTATTTCAAACCTTATGTTAAATGTGCGTTGTCAACATGTAACTGATCAGAGTAATTTTTTTGTGAGAGGGTGAGCTGGTAGTGACTTATAGCTTGCTAGTTAATTGGGGGCTTCTGTTTTTCTTCTCCCTGTTCACTTCAAAGAAGATAATTGGAGAAGGCATCCTGTGCGCTGTAGCATGCAGTTCTACCCAGGGGCATATGTGATTTGGTCCAGGTTCCGCCTTTCTACTGAACTTTTCATGTCATGAGAGCTCTCTCCTGATGGGTCCTGACGTGAACCCATGGGATGGCACACAGTAAGGAGATTCCTCTTCACTAAAGTCATTTTACTGTTAGAGAAACAGCTGTTTGAGAAACCTAATTCTGACAGCATTTTTCTGCCCTTTTTATTTCTAGATGAGGGTGAGGCATATTGGGCATAGCTTTTTCAGTAGGAAAAACAGATCCTCTTACTGAGTGTTTCTCAATCATCTTTTCTAGGAGTAGGCAGTTCCCACCAGGGATTTACAGAATTTCTCCCTCCTGCAGGACATGTATTTGTGTAAAGTGTCCTCTCTGAACCTCCTGCTTCTTCACATATCGGTGACAAATACATTACAAAAGGACACTTTTCTTCTGTTGGAGCTAGATATTGTGCATCTATTGATAGTCTGTAGTGATGACAGCAATCACAATCTCACAAAGATCTGTGTGCTTCCTGTTGTGGAACTGCACTCTGTCTCTATGCAGATGTTTTTTACAGTTCAGAAGTGCCTTTGCAAAGTGCTGTCTCCTACCTTGCAACTGACTATAGAGACATCATCCTGAGACTAAGGATTCCATGGTTTGGCTGCTGATATTCTTCAGTAGTGTTGAACTTGACTATTTGTGCTGCTGGAGTCTGCTTGGCAGAATATGACAGTTAATCTAGAACTGATACTACACAGCATCATTATTTCAGTACTCTGTGCAGTGACGTTTTGAAAGTACAGCCAAAATATTCTTAGCCATTTGTCTCCTGATGTAGTTATGTCTGCAAGAGCCATACTCGTTTATTAGCATCTGTGAGGTCCTGATTTACTGCTGTTGCTAGGTTTGGCTTGGTTTTTCATTTGTTTTGTTTTGGTATTTTCTCCTGGGCCATTAAGCTATCAGAATGACTATCTTGCCTGTGGCAGCCCATTGGTTCCGTTTGACTAACTTATCTTCCTTTTTGGGAGGGGAGAGGATGACAGTAGAGAAGGCAAGTTGGCCTCCCTCACAGTTGGAAGCTATTCCTCTGCTACAAAGTATCCAGCCTGAGAAATTCTGGATCCGCAACACCTACATTAATTGGTTTGATTAATGGAGCATTCACAGTTGATTTAAAAGAAATAATATAAAAAATCCTGATGCTTCCTCTCCACTGGAGATGAAAGATTCAGATCCCCTCTGAGATCTTGCTATAACAAGTCTTCATGCTAGGTTACAGCAGCATTGATTCTCTAGCCTCTGTCTTCAAACTTGATGATGTGTTTATCCAAAATGTTTGATAGCAGGAGCCATGCACAGGCTATTCAGATCATATGTTCCTTGTACTGACGCTTGCAAAAAATTTTAAGCATCCCTTGTTTGGTGGTGGTTTGGTTTTTTTTCTCGGGAATGGGGTTTTTTTCTGTATTTGTAGACTGGAGTTGACAGCTCAGTTCATAAAGTAGGCATTACTAACCGCTGAGGAACAAATACAAACTTTTGTCTGGATTTGTGTTTTCAAAGCATAGTGTGCCTTTAAATTATTTTCTGATGATAGGGTATTTGTTATCAGGCTAGCGTGTCTGAGTTGGCCAGAAGAGAAGAATCCTATTCTCCACTCTATATAAAAAGAACGATGGGGCTGGCTATCGTCTTATCTGTGGAAAGTTGTTTAACAAGGTGGAATTCTTGGAAGAGGCTTTTTGCTGATCAGAAATTGTGGCTTCTTCTTAGGGGGCAGCTCCACCAGCAATGCTGTGAAAAGTGGACGCAGGTCAATGATGAAACTCAAGCTAAGATGGCTAGGATGGCTGCTGCTGCTGCCTGGGGTCTAGGTAATGTATCCTTGTGTGGTAGTGTATGACAACCCACAATGTGGAAGCACGGATAGTTTTAAATTCAGAATTACAAAATATAAGAAACAGCAAAATCAAAGAACAAAATTATTTATGTTGGGATATGAAGTAAGTGTCATTCAACGCTGAAGACCTTTGGAAAACGTTCATTTACATAAGGTCTCCCAGTGTGGTCTCAAGTATCAAAAAGACTGCCTTACTGGTCTGAGCAGATAATCAGTTGCTGAACTGGTCCCTTTTACTTAGTTTTACATTGAACATAGCTCAGACTTGAAATGAGATTAATGGAATTTCTCAGATTTGTGGCAGACTTTTATTTACAAAATAGAACAATATCTGTTGAGCATTTTGATAGGTTGCATCTGCTGAGTAGACAATCTTAAGTGGAATAAATCTGTAAATGGTCCAAATATCGGTTATCCTGATAGCCAGTTATTTACTAGAGAAGCTTATAAATTGCTTACTGTCTTCCAGCCTTTGCTGAGAAAAATTAATCATTTGCTTTGTAGGACACTAATTCATTCAAATGTTCTGGAAATATCAGCATTTCAACTTTTTCATCACAAGGAATGCAAAAACCTTTTCTATGAGGATAACAATTGGCCTAGAAGAAAAATGCCTAAGTTTTTGCTTGTCTATAACTCTTCTGTGTGTGTGTGTGTGTGTGTGTATATATATATATACACAGTTTCTGTATATAACACAGACTATCCCTGCCAAAGACAAGCTGTTGGAGAGCTGACTTAAATGTAGAAGTACCACACAGCATTCAGGCCTAGTTGCTGATGTCTGTAGCATAGTTCTGTTCTTACCTTGCAGAGAAGGCTGTTGTATTACTGAGGATATCTGTGTCTCTGCAGGTCAGTGGGATAGCATGGAAGAATATACCTGCATGATCCCAAGGGATACCCATGATGGTGCTTTCTACAGGGCTGTACTGGCTCTTCATCAGGACCTTTTCTCACTGGCTCAGCAGGTAATGATCTTCCTTGTTGGCTTCCCAAAACCTAGTTTAAGATGAACTAGGCTATATTGCTGCATGGAAAGACATGCTGTTTTAACGCAGTTGACTATAACTTCTGAATTGCCCGGTAACCTTTTTTCCATTGATGTATTACATCTTGGTGATTGAGCTTTTCTTGTATTTCCAGAAACACAGCAGTGAATATATGTACAGACAGTAGTGGTCCAGTGCTGCAGAGCGTAAGAATGCCTTAGTCGTTCTTAGGCTTCTTTACTTTTATGTCTGTTTTCTAGACAGACAGTGCGCAAGGATTATCTCAGCAGAGGTTCCATTCTACAAGGCGCTGCTTGATAAAAGGCATTCATGGCATAAGACACACAAGATTCTTCATGGGTGTTCTGTGCACTTCTGTCTGTTGCAGCTTTTTCAGTGAAGTGCTCATATATATCACGTACCAGAACTTCTCCTCTTAATTTTTCTGGTAGCAGTGATAAATCTTAGATCTTAGATTGAGATGAGAAATCAAGGCAAGGAATGAGCCATATTGGTATGCTTATTTGTCACACAGGAGATTTGCAGGGCAACTTTTTCCCCTCTGTAGATGTAAAGCATGTTGTTTACTTTCCAAGGAAGCTCAAGTACCATTTCTCAGAATTCTGTGCTGGCTTGCCAACTTAGATAAAGGAGTAATTCAGTCGGCTCTGTCAAAACCCGTACATCGATTTTTGGGTCATGTGCACAGTAAAATTAGCCAGGCATTCAAAGGGGTAGAGTTTGTGATTAACCTTTAAGATTTTGAACAGGAAAAATTATAGATGAGAGATTATATAATGACTGGAACCAGAGCAGGATTTATTTCATGCTTGAAGAGCATGTCTTAGTTGGAGGAAGAGAAATGGAATTTGCTGTCCTGTAAAATTCATAAAAACCTGTTGGGTTACGTAAAACAGTAAAAGCTATTTTCTGTCATTGTATATTACCAAGAGACATTTCTTGAGGCTCTTTTGTAACTGACTCTCTTGCACTAAAATGTGAACTTCTCTTTTCCTCTATAAATGTTTTAATGATGATCTCTGCAGTATTTCTAATCCTACTGTCATTGTAAACTTTGATTTGGTAGAAAGACAAACTTCAGACTGTGCAGGTGATAAATGAAGCCCCCTTGACTTCCCCTATCCCTGCCACTGGAGACTGTTTTCCTGTCAATTCTTTCTATTGATAACATCCTTTCCTGGTTCTTGTTGGAGAATGGAAACAATGTCAGCTTTGTTTATGAGATGGAACAGATGAATGGCAGTTCCAACAGTTGACTCTAGATAAAACATACCAGCTTTGCCCCAATATCTTGTTCTATTTCAGTGCATTGACAAAGCCAGAGATCTGCTAGATGCTGAGCTGACTGCCATGGCAGGAGAGAGCTACAGTCGAGCCTATGGGGTAAGTGTCTAACTCTCAGCCTTCATTCTCCTCATTGCTGCTTCAGGCTGTCTCTAGAAGTTGCATAAAACTTCTGAATAGCGCTTGTATCAAACGTAAGACCTGTGTAGGCCCCCAAGCTAAATGGCTCTTGTCAAATAAGAAATACAACTTTATAGGAGCAACTTTGGGACAAATTAAACAGTGAAGTGAGCCCCCCCCAAAAAAAAGAAATAAGAATAGACATTTAGAAAGTTTGAATTAGCAGATCGTCTAGATACCAGTATATAGCAGTCAGTCCTTTACCTGTTGGGCAGCATATGTACTTAAGATTTTGATGCCAAAATACTGTTCCTTAATTATAGATTTGTTCTGTAGTGATTGGGATGGAATGTGATTGTTTCCTTCAGGCTATGGTATCCTGCCAGATGCTGTCAGAGCTGGAAGAGGTTATCCAGTATAAACTTGTACCAGAACGCCGTGAGATCATCCGCCAGATCTGGTGGGAAAGACTGCAGGTACATCTATGTAAAGATCAAGGATTGAGATGCTGATGTGCTGGCATGAACAGCTTCCTTTCAAGTCAGTGTGATGGCTCAGCAAATCTTTCCATTTTCCTTTCTATCCCTATAGGGTATATGCTTACATGGCTGCATGCTTTCTGTCTCCTTTGTGTTTGTCCTGATTGTTTGGGCTTTTTTTGCTTTTGGTTAATGTTCCTGAGTTGTCAACTGGTGTGACCCTTTAGTAGGGTGATTTAAGCCTTGAAATAGATGCGTAAAGAATGGAGTAACATCTCAAAGACTGCTTATCTCAGTGTTGGATCACACCTGGAAATACTGGTTTGGATAAGGCTAGTTTGAACTTTTTACCTGGCTGGCTGCATTTTAAGGAGAAGTGAATTATCTCACAATGCTGAAAAACTGGACAGAGAATTCACATACTTTTAAAAGATTGTCCTGTTCCTTTTTGACCTCTTACAAGAACATTCCCAATTGATTGGTGGCACTTAGGGACATGGCTTAATGGTGGACTTTGCAGTGTTACGTTTATGGTTGGACTGGATGATCTTAAAGGTCTTTTCCGATCTAAACGATTCTATGATTCTGTGATTAGCCTTGTCCTCTTAAAAAAAGACTTTTAGCAATGCTGCTTTTCCTGTATTTAGAGAGAAGCTTGTGCTTTTCTTACTCTAAACAGCAAAAATCCAAATCACCTCTGAAGATTTAAATCAGCCAAATATTTTGAGACTCTTTCCTTACAAGAGGCATCCCTACAGTGAATATGAACACATCAGATGAAGTAGTACATACAGGAATACTGTTCAAAGAGGTGATTCCTGCAAGGGGGGGGGGGGAAGCATAATTAGGGTAAAATGCTGTCATTATATCAAATTTTGATACGCTGCCTGGAAGAAGAATTTCTCCCTATGCAGCATTCTTCACTGTGACTGCTATATCTGCCTCCTTATGAAAGGCTGTTGCTGCTGCATATTTTTTAGCTGTTTGGGAAACTGACAAAGCTTTTAGTCTCATCTGCATTCCTGTCTGGAAAAGCTCAGGAGCATTCCACTGGGGTGGAGAAACTGAGAGTGACAGGAAGTGTAATGTCTGAATACAGCTGTTTATAGTACTGAAAGCAGTACATACAGTTCTTGCACATTTTATAGGTGCTTTTTAATAATTTTAAAATGCCTATTGGATGAGGTTTATTTGGGTGTTAGGGAACAAGCTTTGGCTAACTTCCCAGCCCTCAATTTTGGGGAAAAAGAAAAAGGGAAAGAAGTAGATGCTTTGGTGATAAGGTGCTTGCTGCCATTGGAAATTCTTTTGTTTACCTCAAAACTAAGTCTAAGTCGTCTCTGGATCAATACAAACTTCAGAGCATCACTGTTACCCTGAAGTACTTGGCCATTACAACAAGCACCATGTATTTGGTTGTTACTGTCCCTTCCACAATTCTGCTTCTCTGTAGCATCCTTGAACGTTTGAAATACAGACTCATCCTGCTCTGACTGACAATGTTGTGCCTCTCCCTTCAGACAGACAAGAACCAGACAATGCTTGCACAAGCAGTATAGCAGTTGGAACTGCAGTTTCTGGCAGAATATCAGTTCAGTCATGCCAGCCTCTAAAAGCAACCCATGCAAGGAGAAGAAAAAGGGCAATAATAAAAATATCTTTGCAACCATTTGGGTTTGTACCATCTCCATATTGAGACTTGTCACTGTTTAAACCAAAAATAGGTGTGAAAATAAGGTTGGGAAGGGTTATAAAACTCTTGACTTGTTTTGGAATTGCACAAAGAGCTTTCCTGATTTTAGGATGCATTTCTGCTTTAGAAGCTTTTCTCCTTTTTCAATTAGAGGATATCGTTAGACTGCAAACACTGAGCCGGCTGCAGAGAATAATAAGAGTCAAGGACTTCACGTGTTGCAGTATTAAAGAAATAGCCAGCTAGTTTGTAATGTCGGCCTGTTGTGAATTATGGGTACTGAAGTCTCTCCATCTTGGGAAAAGTCCCTTCAGATTCTGAATTACGGCTTTGTGGAGTAGATTGGAGATAAAACGCTAACAAGTTCTCTCTTCCTTTTTCTTCCAGGGCTGTCAACGAATTGTGGAAGACTGGCAAAGAATACTGATGGTCCGATCTCTTGTTGTGAATCCTCATGAGGACATGAGAACTTGGCTTAAGTATGCCAGCTTGTGTGGCAAGAGTGGGAGACTGGTGAGCATTATCAAGCGCTACCCTCTACAGCAGATTTTTAGATGATTGGCTTTGTCATGCAGCTTCAACCTTGAGCATTTCCAAATACTTTCGTTGTCCAAGTGGGATGGGCTCTCCTCTGAGGAGGAGACTGGTCAGAAATTGTTGAAATGCTAAAGTTGTAACCAGCATAGAGTTCATGCTTGTAGCCAAGATTATTTCTGTGGGACTAGTATTATACCTGACAGCCTCAGAGCCAATTTTTTTTGCATGCTATACCTGAAAGCTTTTACGCAGCACTGGTAATTATTAATACCTCTCTCTGCTAAAGCACTCTTTGTCAAATCTAGAATGTGATATTGTTATCGTTGAACATTACAATCCTATTTCAACATTCACCACAAGATTTATTACCAAAAATAATTGAAACAGAGACTTCACACTCTCTACTGGCTTCTGAATGAGAATCTAACGCTCTGATCCCAGTGAAGACATAAGGTTTAGCATGTGGTATTCTTATGAGTCCAGGGAGTGGTAATAAGGCTGCTATGTCTCTTTTATCTGGAGGGTTGAAGGTATTTTTTAGTGGTGGGCAATTCTGAGGTCAATATGACATGGAGGTAAGAATGAGCTTGTTTTAACCTGCTTTTTCTCTTTGCAACTTTCTCCAGGCTTTGGCTCATAAGACACTTGTCCTGCTCTTGGGAGTAGATCCATCTCGACAGCTGGATCACCCACTGCCAACAGTACATCCCCAAGTGACTTATGCATACATGAAACACATGTGGAAGAGCGCCCGTAAGGTACAAAAGAACATAGAATGAACCTATGTTTCATTGCTCAGGTTTTGTGTGGTAGCATGCATGTTAGCTCTTCATAATCCCCACAGAACAAAGTCAAGGCTGAAGGTTTTATTTTTGCTCACCTAAAAAAGAGTAACTAATCCCTTTCCTTACTGTTATTAGAAGATAAGCTTTTGAAATTTTCCTTTAAGACTCTGTAGTGACAGAGGAGGCCTGGCCCTAATTTTATGTCCTACGTGGAAAGATTATTTTTGCTAAATCAGTATCAAGTACCCAAGGGATGCAGCCAAGATTAATGGTCAATAGTAGCTCTTCTGTCCTCACCAGGATTTTACTGTGTAGGCTTGGTACTTGACTCTTTTGTCCTGTTCTAATTGCCAGGTCTACACACTATACCTAGGTCAGGGTTACATGCTGAAAGAGTAAGGTTTTTTATTACCAGATTTAGAAGAATATCCTGAACAATTTGTACTTAGTTGCTGAGCAGAACTGACTTTTATTAAGGACATTATTGAAAATTTCTAACTGAAAGACAGCTGAAAAGTACATAGGGTTTTGTCATGGGAACAATTTGGCTCCAAAGAGCCTAGGGTGAATGTTTTTGACATTGCAACACAGGGAGAATTTACATAATCAAATCCAATAAGCTCCAGACTGGATAACTTATCTTTTTTTAATATACATTAAAGCCTCCATTTATTCTCATATTCTGCCACATCTTTTTTATTTTTCCTGTCTTTGGGATTGCCAGCACTGGAGCACAGCCATTGCTATGGGAACATTGCCATGACCTAACTATTCTTTATTTGAATTTAAAAAACAGAAGGAACTGCTGATGAGGCCCTGTTCTATTGGCTTTGTAAAATAGTGTAATGGTCTCTTACTTTCTTCAGTAAATGACCCAAGAAGTATATGGGTCTTCTCTGCCTGCCTCTTTGAGTGAAAGTAGACTTTTCTGTGTTTGACCTGTGATAAAGACAGACAAGATGCAAGAAACTGGTGCAGTTGTAGAAAGCAGAATGAAAGAAGGCACAAAGATTAAGAGGGTGGGGGAAGAGAATGTGTCTAAAATAAACTGATGAAAGAATACATGGACCCCATGAAGACAGAAAGAAAAATTGGTAAAGCAGCAAAGATGAGAAGGAGGAACAGATGTGGTTAGAAACACCTCCTCTTGCTCGTTGAATGATTTCCTATTTAAATACACTACATAAGCTCTGTGCTTAGGGGCTTTTTTTTTTTCTTCTTTCTAACACATTAAAACTGGGTGTTGTTTACAGTGCTGAGGGAGGAATACTTTACCCGAGGTAGCACTAATCCTAGACCTGCATGCAAGTCTCAACCCTTTCTCTGAGCACTCTTCTGCTGGAAGGGTTGACTCAATGATTCAGTCCTTTGTGGCACTTGGAAAGTAGATGCTTATTTTTGAAATTCATGGTTAAAGGTGCAGCTGTGGCAGAAGAAGCTATGTTAGGGTACAATAGAGTTTGCAGTCTGGAGTGAGACATAAGTGTTTGTTTATACCAAACACTGAAAGTGTTTAGGGAATTCTCCTGGTACCAGAGGCATTACATGGTTGGGTGTATCCTTATGTCCTATTTGAGTGACTATCGTTAACTAAATACATAGTTATACCTAGTGATGTATGTAGACCAGAGTTTTATATAACTGTGTGTGTTCACTTGATTTGGTATCCTAAGTAATAAGCTACTGAGGTAGGCTGGTATGGTAGGAAATGACCATTTTCTCTAGTTGAGGAGTTCAAGGTTGCTTGGTTGACCTAAAACTTGCCAGATCCAGTGGGAAGAAAACTGGCATCTAGATGGAAACCAGCTGCATAGCACCTGCAGAGCTGCACAACAATCTTTTCTTAAACAACAGATAAAAAGATGTATAAGTAAACCCTGTTGCATTTCTTCTAACAAGGACCTTTGCCAGCAGCTGCGTTCTACAGACATGTACCGTAACAAGGCTGCATACAAACTTAAGAATTCAGTTGTTAAAGAAAACCTACTGCTTTCAGTCTTAAGTGCTCTGCCTGTCAGTTTATGGTGATCAGTTTTCAATATTAATGGAAACTGAAGAGCAGATTGTTGGGTGTGTCTAGATATGAGAGGGGCACATAACTGTTCAGCAATAGCTTTTTGTCTATTTTTGACAAATGTCTGGCATAACAGCAGAACTATTTATAAGATTGTTATTTCCCCCCCGCCCCCTTCTAACCAAGTATCTAGGTTACAAGCTGTGGAATGCCCCCGGTTAATGTTAATAGTACGATACTTTCTTTTATTTCACCCTGGGCTAATACCCTTTTTCCTGACAATTGACTTGTGCATGCTGACATTTGAATGGGATAAATGAGGCATTTCAGCTCAGGTGATTCTTGTCTCACTCTGAAGTAGCTCATTCCTGTGGATGGAACAGAAGTAAATTGGACTCTTAATAGCATATTCTGCAGTTTCTGACCTGAAATGACCTTGCAGGTTGCAAGAGCTTTACTCTAATTGTTTCCAGTGAAGCGTGCATACTTTTTTTTCTTAAATCTTTAATTTCGGGTTTTCTCACCCCATAATTCTTTCCAAGGAATTTCAAAAAAAGTCTTCCCTCAAAATTTGGTAGTGCAAGTTGCTTTAGCACTACTGCCTTACGTAATCTGCTGGCAAAGGAGCAATGTACACTTGTACTTCTTAAACAACCTTAGACTAGACTAATCTAGACTTTAATTTGTTGAAACAACTCAAAGTTTACATCCCATGGTGTGTACTGTAAGCCTAGCCAAAGCTGAGGGGTTAGGAGGGAAGATCAGAAAGCTGCAAGTTTTCCTTCTGGCGTTATTTTCTCAAATTGTTTTTTTTTTTCAGGCCATAGCATATTATTGACAGGCTTCTCTGGATTTGTGCTCCTGTCTATTATGATAGTGACCTGGTCAGATACAGTTTGTAAGCTACAAACATTTGTTTGATTGTTGGAATTGCTGGACTGTCTTCGATGTGCATGCTCAATTGCAAATGAGACATCTCTATATCATTACTAGAATCTCACTCTGCATGAGCAGTAACAGGACATTCTCTGCTGCTGAAGTTTTGTTCTTGTACAGGTGACCTTGTTGCTTTTCCAGAGTTGAGTTCTTGCTCATCAGAGCACAATGTTAGCTTATGTTATAGTCGGTCATGCTTTTGACTGTATGTGTGACATGAAGGTGTGCCTAGCATTGGAAGGATGCAGTTATTTGTTCCTCAGTGTAGCAATACAGCAGCCAGATTTCTGAGACATCAAGAACCTCTAACCTCTTTGTTTATTTGGTGCTACATATGTAGAGTATAAACTGATTTTAGAGGGATGTAAATGGCTAAAAAGCTTTGAAAAAACAAAACTGTATTTTTTGCTTTCAGTGAAAATTTATTTCCACATTGTCTTCCTCTCTTGTGAAGTTTTATTTAACCCTTGTGGTCCTTACTGCAACCATCATCCAATTACAGATTGATGCGTTCCAGCACATGCAGCACTTCGTGCAGACAATGCAGCAGCAGGCACAGCATGCTATTGCAACTGAAGACCAGCAGCACAAGCAGGAACTCCACAAGCTCATGGCACGGTCAGCACCTGGTCCTCGGGTACCCTTTAGCTATGTAGTGAAACTGATGTCTTTCCTGAGGTTGCAGGGTCCATGCAGATGACACATTTCAGAGAAGGCCCATGCTTTGATTAAAAGGAACAGGGGATTTCTCATTTAGCTGGTAGAGTCCTGTTTGGTATTACATCCTTACCTATCATATGATGTTCAGTAAATGTTATTGTGACACATCAGCATAAACAAGCTTGTATTTGTTGCTGACAGCTGGTTGTATTTTTCCAGCACTGTGGCTGACTGGCAGAAGGCAGAGCTCTCAGCATAGCTGTTTCTTTGGTTTTCAAGAGATCCAGTCAGTAGGAAAGAAACACTTCCCACATGCCTGGCACATCTATGCTTGGCAGTGTGTGCCCTTAGTACAACAGCAGTGCTTTGGGCAATAGGTGTCCGGCATGTGATGGTCTTTTAAAATACTGTTGCATTAAAAACACATCTTATAATCTCCATTTTCCTCTATGGATCTGGAGGTGCCAGATCTGTTGTTTCCAATTTTAAGAAGAAATTGCGTAGTGCTTACTATTGAAGGTCTGCTTTTTTTTAAAGGGAGGCATGTACTAAATTTGCTTTTATGAGAATGGGAACTTGATAACACCACCATCTTATTTTTTTCAGAGTGACTATCATGGAAGACAAATTAGTAATGAGTTGCACGCAATATTTTTCTTGCACAATGCTTTCTGGAAAACTCAAAATCTAGAAGGGACAGCTGTGTAACTGTGGTATTTAAAGCCTGCTGAGGGAGCAAAGTATTAAGCTTTGCACACAAACCTTCACAGCCCCACCCTTCTGCAGTAAAAATATGTTGTTTTTCCTTTCCTCAGGGAGGGGATGACTTAATGGGGTTCTGGCTTGGGGGAAGAGCAGTTGCTCTGTGTTTTCTACTGTCTGTCGCAGTGTTCTCTCCAGAAGGCTCGTTCGTATGTTGATAAGTATAGCTAGCCAGCACATATGCTGTGTGCATTTTATCAATACTCATGGAGTCTTTTGATGCCACTGTTAGCTACTTCTTACATTTATTTTAACTGATATAAATGAGGAACAAAGTTTGCCCCTCACCTGTCCCCCTAAAAATTAAACCATTAACTAGTTAGCTCCACACTTACAATCAGGATGTAGGTGTTTTGAACCTTACATGTTAACACATACGCTCCCAGTCTGCAGAAGAGGCTTACTGAGTGGGTTTACCACATGAAATGTCTCTCAGGCTTCAGATAAGAAATCTGGCTCTTAATCCAGTGGGCTTCATTTTCATTCTAGGTTCTGAGTCAATAATCCCTTTGCTTAACCAGGTGTTTTCTGAAACTGGGTGAGTGGCAGCTGAACCTGCAAGGCATCAATGAGAGTACCATCCCCAAAGTCTTGCAATACTACAGTGCTGCAACAGAGCATGATCGCAACTGGTATAAGGTCAGTAAGGAAAAGGTTCTAGGCACCATTGCAGAAAGATCGGTAAATTTGATCACGTCCCATACTACAGGAAAGGAAGGTGCTCATAGGAAGATCTCCCATAACTATCTGCCTTGTTACTGCGAGTAGGATTAAAGAAACAGAGAAAGCAGCCCAAGGCAACCATGAGACTCTTGTTTAGAATTTTATCTGGTTGGTAAAACTAGACCACAATTCAGTTTCTGTTCTTGCTCTTGGGACTTTCTCTCCCGTCAGTTAACAGTGAAGGAGAAAGGAGAATCTAAATGGAAAAAGTTTAATTTGTTCTCACTCAGTATACTTGAACTAGGAAAGCAGCCTTGTTGTTAATTCTCCAAAGAGCCTTTGATTTCAGGGTTGTGACATTTCAATGAACATTTGGTGCCAATATTTGGTCCCCCTTCTCTGGGGCAGCCATTTCCTGCATTTCTTCCCGTTACACCTCCCCTAGTCTTAACATACTAATCTTTATTTTAAGCTTTGAAAAATTAAGGTGTATGTGAATGGAATGTGATTTAATTTTTGCTACAGAGCTCCTTTGCCTTAACATCCAACAGGGAGCTCCTGGCCAAGAACTCACCATGATGTTATTTAAGATAATAAAGCAGTTAAAACTACAAGTGATTAGAGAAAACAAAGCATTGTGTTGTCTGCAGGGTATTACTTACTACTGTTGTCTGAGGAATCAGAAAGGTTGGATTATTATCTCTAATAATTAGAAAGTACAGGTTGCAGAAAGGATTCATCTTCCTTCTGACTTTTGTTCTCTCTTGTTGGCAGGCCTGGCATGCCTGGGCAGTGATGAACTTTGAAGCAGTGCTTCACTACAAACATCAAAACCAGGCCAGAGATGAGAAGAAGAAACTACGTCATGCCAGTGGAGCTAGCATCACCAGCGCTAACACCGAGGGCAGCAATAGTGAGAGTGATGCAGAGAGCACAGAGAACAGTCCCATCCCATCTCCAGTGCAGAAAAAAGTCACTGAGGTACCCTTCTTCCCTGTCTATGTTGAGAGATTGGTACTTTCTGCTTAGATGCAGGAAAACATTGTGGTGGGGAACAAGCTACTATGTGTATCTGGCTTGTGGGAGATGTCTCTGCGTGTGTGTGTGTATATATGCTCATAGCTTACAGCAAAAGTGAGAAAGTTCAGGTTAACTCAGTCTTAAGGGAAGAGGACTATATGCAAATGATCGTAAGTTAGCTGTGAACTAAAGCAAAGGCGTGGATGGCTATCATAGGTGATACAATGTGCATTAACAAGTTCTGCTGCTTAAGCCCTTCATGAAAGACTGTGAGGAATCTCTTTTACTTACCAGTTATAGCAGGGTTGTAGTTCTTAGGCTGCTTTGCTGTCCATAGTTTTGCCAACAAATTGAATTAGAATGTGTGTGTTCCCTGCCAGACTGAAAGACCTATGTGTAGTCAAGCAAAACAGAAATTCCAGGAGCAACATATCATGTGAGGAGTATGAGCAGAAGTCAACTATAATGTGGATTAGATCTATGTTTCCACATATTTCTCCCTCTATCCACTTGCTAAGTTTATGATTCATGTGGACTGATGCACTTGTGTAGAACTAATGCAGCAATTTTCATTCCAAAAGGATTTATCCAAGACCCTC